AACATAATGGCAGCATTTAACAACACATATAACTCAAGCCAACAATATATGCAGAGCAACAATGAATGCATTCAATAAGGATCAAGCATGAATTAACATGAACATGCATCATGGAATTCAACAATCGATAATGTGTATGAGCATGTGATGAACAATGTTGAGCAGACAATAAACATGCAATGCAACAATGATCAACGCACGCGAGCATGCATCAAGAACATCACAAACGTGCATCAACAATTAAGCATGTAAAGCGTTAACCAACGCAAATCAATCACCACTCCGCATACACATTGTAAACATATGCTAAACAGCTTAAGAAATGACCACAAACATCTATCATATCAAGCAATGAAGGTTAAAAGTGGAAAGGAATCAAGACAAGCTAAAAAATCAACAAAAAATCACATTTAGCATCAGGTGTAACCAGTTACCTGATATGGTGTAATCAGTTACACCATGTTCAAAAACAAATCCAGGTGCGCAGGCAAGGGTGTAACCGGTTACTCCACAGGTGGTAATCGACTACACCTGCTAAAACAGCAGAAGAAAAAAAAAGCAATCATAAGCACTTTTGATAATCACTTTTTAGATCCAAACACCAAATGTTAGGGCATGCAATTGTACCCGAAAATCACATCAAATATGAGCAATTAAACATCAATTAAATCAATTAAACATCAACGTCAACAAGCATGAAAATCAATGGATCAAACCACACAATAATCACAAGAAACTACATTGTGAAAATGAAAATTAAGCTAGAATCAAGTTTGGATCCAAGAATTACCAACCTACAAAGCTGAGATTTGGTTTGGTAAATGTTGTAAACAGAATTTGATGAGAAAAGTTGAGATCCAATGAATTCCATGCGAGAAAATTGAAGAAGAACGCAAAAATTAACCGATATTGAATGTGCTTCAAAATCTCTTCAAGAAACCACTTCCAAAATCAGATTTAGATCCAAATCAACTTCTATTGTAGAATCTAACAATGGAAGAGTAATATGATGAAGGTTTAGCTCAAGAATTAACAAGTTTCAATATAAAACTTGTTAAGCTTTAATGGAGGAGCTTTGGTGAGGTTAGGGATGAAGATGAAAATGGAGAGAGAGAGAGAGAGAGAGATGGAGAGAGAGAGAGAGAGAGAGAGAGAGAGAGAGAGAGAGAGAGAGAGAGAGAGAGTGTGAATGAGTGAAAAATTCTGCACAAAGTGAGAGAGAATTGAGAGTAAATTCAGAAAAATGCAGAAAAATGATTAGGGTTCTCTTAGGAATGGAGCAAGTTTGCTTAAATAGAAATTAGGCTTGGAGCTCAAAGAGACTTGGAATTTAGTTTGGAAATATGCTTTGGAGTTAGGTATGGAATGAGGTTTGGAATGTGGTATGGGGTTAGTTGGAATTTACAATGCTTTAGATCCTTCTACTGAGGCAATAGTGAATCTAAGTGAAAATAAAAATGAGTGCATACTACTGCAGAACATGAAAACACTGTATTTGGAAAAAATACGCTGATGTATCCGGTTACACTAAATTGAATAACCGGTTACCACATTCAAAAGTTTGAATCTGGCGCCATCGGGAGGGGTGTAACCGGTTACATCAAGGCAAATATGAGAAAATCACCCTGTTGAAACCTATTTTGAGCCCGGCTTCGCATCTGAATCTTAGCCTTTGATAATGCCCTTGAATAATACCTGAAATATGCTAAAGAACTTGTCTTGAACAATTCATATAAACTCACTGCCTTCTATTTCCTATTTTGAAATGATCAAACCAGTTTTCGAGCAAAATAAATGTTGAAACTTTGGTGCATGTTGTCTTGGTTCTAAGTGCCATTGAAACACTCTCTGCAATAAAGAAAACCTTGAACCACAAGAAATGTGGTGGTCCCATGTCTTGAGAACTCAATGCAATGCATGACTAACTGCTATGACAAATGCATATGGATGTGAACATAAGTCAGTTAAGGTTAGAAAACATAGGACAAATTATGGGGTGCAACACTAGGAAAATATATTCTTTATAGTGATGAAAATCAATATTTAAATTTTGAGACTCATTCTTTCATAACATATGTACGTCTCTCATCTAAAAATAATAATTCAGATGATGTGCATGTTATTCGTCATGATCATCAAGAGGATATATGAGAAAATTAGTAAGTAAATATTTTATATCACTTAGTAATATATATTTATTCATTTTTTAAAATTTCTTTTTACTAAAGATTTAATGTTATTGTTGTTGATGATCCTAATTGGTTTCAAATGTTGTTCAAATTATAGGTGTTTAACGACCGATGACACATCACAGAAGAGAACTTTTTGACGACCTACAAGACTTTGCATTTTTAGTTAATTATTTTTTTTAGTTTTAATTTGTTGTAAAATAATAAGGTGTGTGTGATATTTTTCCTTTGCAAATGATGTAAACAATGAATATATTTCGATACAATATATTTAGTTGAGAAATAGAAAAAATGTAAAATGTTTTTGTTTCAGAAATGACCAATATATAGTTCTGTAATATATGTTCAAATCAAAATATAGAAAAAAAATTACATAACAAAGATTTCCCCTCGATTAATATTATAAATCGAGGTAATAATACTTCTATATTACCTCGTTTTTTTTTATAATCGAGAGAAAATGTGGGGCGCGCCAACCAGTTCTGAAAATACTAAAATTGTGGTTGCTAGGGATCAAACCCATGTGCAGAACACATTACCCCTCGGTTATTCCAAAACCGATGGATAACGTGGCAAGTTTCCATGATGTCCTTCGTTGCCTTGCTTGTGAAACTGATGTTAAATCCCCTTTGTGATCGACGTTAAATGTGTGTTGTATTGTAGTGAAACTTAATCTATTAGCTTTCATACAACTACGATTCATAATACTTTCTGAAATTTAAATCAAATTCCTATAAAATCATGCATCTTGAATGAAAACTTTGATAAGTTCAAAAACTTTACTAAGTCACGTTTTTAAAAACAAAACATTGGTAAGTCATAACAACAAAACAACAACAATAACAAGATATAACATACTCAAAAACACAAAAACAGAAAAATAATCTCAATCACAACAACATATAACATTAAAAAATTTGCTAAGTCACACCAACTAAACAACAACAACAACAACAATACAAAAACAACAATCTCAATCTCAACAAAAACACAACAACATCAACAATAAACCTATTACTTATCTCAATAAAAACAACAAAAATATAATATTCAATCTTAATCTAAATAAAAACATGAGACATTAAAACACTGCATTGTTGGGTCTCAACAACAATAAAAACAACATTGTTGTAACATGAATAATGGTGAAATGATTCATGTATCATAAGTGTGAAGAAGAAGAAGAATCAAAGAAATGAGTTTCATATACCCTTCTTGTGAGTTTTGTCTTTCCTTTCTTTGATCCGTACGAGTTGGAGAATATATGATGAGGTTAGTGAAGAAATGGTGTTTATGGAGATGTGTTTTTCCTAGGGTATTGTTCTGCTCTAAAGGATTTTCGTTGGAGCGTTATTCTGTTCTAAATGAAAATAAACTACAACTTGACATGTTTTAATTTAAAAGGAACACTTTTCACCACAATTATTATTAACAATTGTGGGGATATCTTATAACATTTCATCATGGTTACTTTTTCTAACCGTGGAGAAAAGCTATATAGATTTTTCTATAAAAAATCAACATGTTCATTCACATTTCTCCTAAACTTAATTCATTTTGCCTTCAAACGACATCTTTTATTCACAAACTCTACACATTTTTTTCAGCACATAATTTCTACACATTCACAAACTAAAAAAATAATATATTAAAACTTCATCTTCCGTCTTATTGTGTTGTTGTATCTCTGAAGATTTAGGTTTTGAAGATACTAAAAAAAATATTGAAAATTTTGGTTTGAAAATTAATGTCAAGTTTCACTTTATCAAATAAGTGGTATGCTTATTCCTTGACATTGATTTTCAATGCTGAAATTTTCAAAATAATAAAAATGAATGAAAATATTGAACCACAAAAGTATATTAAAAATGAATGAAAAATAAATTATACGTGGAGATTTGAAACGTGTCAACCAGGAATATTTTCCCACTATTGAAATGTGGTAAAATATTATTTAATTTTAATTTAAAAAAAGAAAAACATGTCACATTTTACCACGATTATTATATTTAATCGAAATATGTCTTAAAAGTTAGCCACATTTTACCACGATAAATATATCTAATCAAAATGTGTCTTAAAAGTTAAGAATAAAAAATACTCGTAATTGAATAGATTTGCTCCAATGAATACTTTGGATTAAGATGAAAGTTAGTTATAAAATCTAGATTTTATAGTAATTGACATATTTTACAGTTGAATAGTCAAATTCAATATATCTTTGACTATTTTTAATTCTACACAACCTTTGTGAAATTCATTGGATTTGACAAAGATTTGTCTCAATGATATTCAAATGTTATTAGTTCAACTAGAATTCTGTAGGCTACCTGATCAGTTTTGAGTTGTTACTGTTTCAAGCTTGTCACTTTCATAGTTTCAGTTTTTAGAAACAAATATGTTTATATAGTTTCTGGTTTACAAACGTTGCTTGTATAGGAGTTAGTTTTATATTTTTATAAGATAAAACAAAAACAAAAAATCGTCTAAAAATATTGAAAATAAACGCAAATCTCATGTAATTATGCAACATCAATAATTTTTATTTTAATAAACTTAGATGAGTATAAGATCTTCTTGAAAACAAATACTCTGTACTCTGTTGCATAAGAAGCAGAAAGGTAGAATCAAAGTATGGATAAAGAAGAAAAAAAAAATCTACAATTCACAAAAAAAAAAAAAAAAATCTCACCATGATTTGCACATATCAATCATCATGTGGATTCCTAATAATAACACTTTAATTTTTTTATTTATTTTTTCTTTCTGAATATATATATATACTTTTTTTTATAGATGAAAAAGAAGATGCTATGAAGAAGTTATATTACAAGATGATGCTTTGGATTTATCAAGTATCGACCACATAACATGAACATCTTCATAACCACAAGCCATGACTTCACCATGTAGATCCATTACACGATTCTCTTGTTCTGTATGAATCATATAAAAAAATATTCAATTAATTAATATGCACATGAACATGAAAACTAACCAATAATTAGATTATATATGTTGATACCTATTTGAGATTTCTTATGTTCTCTTGGTGGTTGTTGGTTGAAGAAAGTGCAAGCTTTCTTGAATGGTGTTGCAATAGTTTTCTTCCATGAAGCCATGTTGTTATAAAGTCTTTGAATTTGATTTGTAATAGTGCTGTATTATTCTCTAGGTTTATATATACTAGGCAGATGATGTCTATGTACGAGATTTATAATAATATTTTTTTTTCAATTATCATAATAATAATAATTATTAAAAAAAAAAACTTCATTCAAACTTATTTTTAAGAAAAAGATATTCAATTAAAAAAATTCACACATATCTAAAAGTTAATATTCTTTAATGCCTTAATAAAAGAAAAATATAGTTTAATTATATTATATAAAGAAAGACTTTATATAAAAAAATTTGATATTATATTATAATCTTAATTTCTATTGATACTTTAGATTTGATTTAAATATAAAAATTAGTCAAAAATAAACGATAATATTTTTTATATTTATTACAAAAAATATTTAAATTTATTAAATAATTAATATATCTATCCGATTTTACTTGAATGAAATGAAATGATAATAATTTTTTTAATTAATTTTTTTAGTCTATAGAAAAAATAATAACAACCATTAAAAACTCACACACTCAATCATAAATATCAATATTGATTTTTATGAATATGTTTTTTCAAATTATATTAATATTTTTGTATAATAAAAATGGGAGAGAGTATAGGATATAGAAAGAGGGACCTAGAGAAAAAAAAATAGTTTTTAATAAGAAAATAAAAATAGAGGCAAGATCCGTGAGATGAGGTTAAAGATGGAAGGAACATCACACCTTTAGTTTAATGAGTTTCCTTATCTCATCAAACAAAAGGTATAGTCGACTGTACCCAATCACATGCTTCTCTACATGTGAATTCTTTTTCCATTGGATTCTTTTCATTATACTTCTTTGTTTTTATTTAATTATTCATTAAGAATTTAAAGTATATTTATCACTTTCTCCTTTTCTTAATTTGCTATATAAGTTTGGTTGTAAGCTTTTCATGGTAGGCCCTTCCCTATTATAGTATTTGATAAATCAGTTTTCTATAGGTTCTATTTTTGTAAGGAAATATTAATTAATGTTTTAAGGATGTTATTTAGAATTTTTATTTTTATTTTTAAATAAAAGGATGTTATTTTTTTCCAGCAATCGAGATGGGTTGAAACCACTTTATATCAAAATTGACCCACAAATTGATTAAGGGGACCAATAGACTAGATATGGTGGTGAAAAAAAAGATGTTATTTAGAATTAAAAATATGAATATTTGTGTACAATTCGTTAATTTCAAGAGAGTTTTGGTGGATTCTAGTCGTTCAATCAATGTCTCTTATTCTTTGAAGTATGGATACTTTTAAAATGTAAAGAACCGGTACCGAGTATGCACCTGTATCGGGTACTCGTACCGTATTCGTGATACTTTATTTTTTTTTATTATTCGATTTTGAATAAAATTTGTAGTTTTCTCAAATATCAATATAGTATATTTATGTGTTTTAATTTTTTTTATTATATCTTATCATTATTTATTGTTTTTTTAATTTTTTATAGTTGTATTTCGTTATGAACCTAACAATTTAGTTCTCTACTCATATATTTTATAGAAAATTTTTTATTTCTTATTAACTTTTCTATATCTTGATTTTTTTCTTAAATGTCGTATCCCATACCGGTACTAGTACCCGCACCTATGCACCATAGCTCTTACCAGGATGTATTTGAAGGATTAAAAATGGACCACGAACTAGCTTGCAACATTTAGAGGTACGTTAGTAGTTTTTTTTTGGGAGAACGAGTGCAGATACGAGGATATGTCTCAATGTTGACGACATTCGGAGCGGGAAGGAATGACAAATTCGTAGAAGTAAGATACTTAGTAGTGACCTCTCATTCCTCGTATAATATCATATGTGAAAAGTCGGCGCTCAATGCCGCAAGAGTTGTTCTAACTGCTCTATATCTGACAAATAAATATCCCTTAAAAAATGGATGAATTGGCATAGTTAGGGGCCATCAAGAAGTGACAAGAAAATTTTATTGAGATACCTTAAGGTTTAAAAGAAGAGGGGAAGCGACCTCATCAAGCAATGCCCACAGGGGAAATTATGTTGATTTAGAACCGAAGGGCGACTCCTTAAAAGACAGGTTAACACCTATGGAAGAGTTGTAAACAATACATATCGGTCCTCATAATCACCAAACCATTCAGCTAGAGTCATCATTAATTGGAGAGGAAAAAAGCAACATTATTGATTTTCTTCAGAATAATTAATATAAACTTATTCATATGAGCACCATCCGGTATGCCCAAAATAGACCCTGACATCGCATGCCATCATTTTGCTATCAAGCATGTCTTTAAGCATGACACCCAGAGGAAGTGTAAATATGGTGGCGGCAAGAGAGTAGTGATCTCCGAAAAGGTGAATAAATTGAAAGATGTTTGGTTTATACGAGAGATTAGATATCCGACCTGATTGACTAATATAGTAATAGTGAAGAAGATGTCAGACAAATGAATAATGTGCGTAAGTTTTACTAACCTCAATCAAGCATGTCCCAAGGACCCTTACTCGCTGCCAAGCATCAACATGCTGGTTGACGGGGCCTGAAGTTTTTATGTCTTGAGTTTCATGGACGCCTAATAGGGATACAACTAAATAAGGATGAACCCTTGCAACGCTTCAACAACTACATTCATAACGATATCATAACAACTACTATTACGAGGTCATGCCATTTGGTTTGATGAACACCCAAGCGATTATCAGAGGTTAATGCATATTGGTCTCTTTAATTAGATAGGTCAGAACCTATAAGTCTATATTGATGATATGGTAGTCACAACCCCAATAAAGGGAAGCACATCAATAACCTAAGAGAGACTTTGGAGTTTGTAAGAAGGTATAATAACCATAGCAAGATCTCGTTCAAAGTGCAGGCTAAAAAGCTCTTGGTGTTCATGTTAACCAGAAGAAGAATTAAGGAAAATCAAAACAAGTGTCAGATGATCATTGACATGATAAGTCCAACCTCTGCGAAAAGGTTCAACAATATACTAGCATAGTTGTTGCGTTATTCTGGTTCATATTATGATCATCTATTCATTTCTTTGCAACCTTGAGAAAGGAAAAAATTCCATTAAACAGACGAGTATGAAAAGGTGTTTCAAGAGTTAAAGAACTTCTTGGAAGCCCATTCGATGCTTAGCCTCCCAAATAAGGAAGCTCTCCTATATTTGTACTTGTCATCCACCAATACCATAATAAGTCCAACCTTAGTGCGAAAAAAAGATGAAGAAGAAAATTAAATCTACTTCATAGGTAAGGTCCCTAAGTGGGGGAGGAGTGAATTACGCTACGATAAGATGGAGCAACTCCCCTTAAAAATTATCATCATGGCTAGGAACTTACGACCTTACTTCTAGGAACATCCTATCATGGTGAAAACTAACTATCTCGTTGATCAAGTGCTAAAGAAGCAAGACGTGATGGACATGATGGTGTCATGGATTGTCAAGCTTTCTTAGTATGAAATATATTTCGTATCTAGAAGTGGCATCAAGTCCCAAACCCTAGCATATTTTGTGGTCGAGTTCAACTCACTAGTGGAAAAGGAGGCCTTCCATGTTTGGGTTATATCGGTGCATGGATCCTCGAATTTAAAGGGAAGCAAAACAATAATAGTACTCAAAGGACCTAGATATGTACTAATCAAGCAATCACTACTTTGGTTTCAAGGATAACAATAATCATGTTGAATAAAAGGACTAATTGTAAGAATTAAGTTTGCAAAAGAAATGGAAACAACTAGCCTCAATGCAAGAAGTGACTCCCAACTTATCATCAACCATATTAAAGGCGAATACCAGAAAAGGGAGTCCCAATTTTGAAATTATTGGTAGAAGGTTTAAGATATGGCTAAAAACTTGAATATTGTTTTTGAAAGAATCTAAAACTTTTATACAAAATGGGTCGAGATACATCTATCCTAAGATGTACGACAGAAGAGAATGTGGACCTAGTTTTAGTTGAATTTCATGAAGGCGTATGTGAAAGCCATATAGGAGGAAACTTTGGCAAGAAATATTCTAAGGGCCGAGTATTATTGGCCAAGCATGTTAAGAGACAATGCTTAATTCGTAAATATATGTGACAAATTCCAAAGATTCTCGAACTTCATCCATACCCCCACCGAGATATTGCACTCAATTATTTCACCTTGGATTTTCTATTAATGGGAAATGGTTATTTTGGGATCTTTCCCGATAGCTCAGAGCCATCTCAAATATCTATTGTCCGAGTTGGAACACTTCACAAAATTGGTAGAGGAAGATAAAATTCCAAGATGAGACCAAGAAAAATGTAAGAAGGAAACCTAGTATTAAAACGAGTAATGGCACCCACCACGAAGTGCATGCTATACCCAAATTAGGAAGTGCCTTTCCAAGTACAAAAAAAACTATCTTAGGGGACATATAAACTAGAAAGCCTAAGAGGAGAAAAAGTTTCAAGGATTAGGAGTATAGTGAATTTAAGATACTATTATAGTTGAACACAACTTATACATATAAATATTACGTAATATTTAAATTGTATCCATTAAAGCAAAAAAAAACTTAGGGAGACACATTTTTCCCTTGCAAGGTGAGAGTTTATAATGAGCCTCTCTAAGTGTTTTAGTTAATTGTGCCAAATATGACAAGTATAGAGCTCAATGATCAATCTAAGCTATCCTCATACCAGACTTCCAAAATCCTTCGGGGAATATTAAGGCCTATGAGGTATCCTCGAGAACCCTACACGAACTCTAAATCCTACAAGATATCCACTAGAACCCTATGGGAACTCTAAAGCCCTACAGGGTATCCGCTAGAAGCCTACAAGGAATATAAAACCTTATGAGGTATCTTCCAAAACACCGCGGGGACTATAAAGCTACATGGGGTATTGTTCAAACTGCAATAAAGTAGAAAGAAGCAAAAATTTAGATTTGGAAGGATTCCCTTCGGGATTTATATCGTCTCCACAGGGATCGGTGCGAGGGAAAAAATGTCGTTCAACGG